AATGAAAAGTAATAAATGTGATTATAATTCATGGAAGTGAGAGATTCAGATATAACTGGTTTAAATTAGACAGAGGACTGTCCACTGAGCGGGAGAATAGACTTTTAAGTCCTCTGCAGGGATGCAAGACGGACACTAAGGTAATGACATTTTATGTACAGAAAAGATATCGCTAGGGCAGGAATGAATCTTGCACATCATTGTGGAGAAAATGTCACATTTTGGGGGAGACTAAGGAAAATTTTCCAGAGCAGGTTGATTAAGAATTATGGCAAGTGTTTGCAACTACTGAGGGATTTACAATGTTAGAATAAATCCTTAAGAGATAGATTAGTGAGCAGAAGGCAGGTCAAAGGTGCATGGTAAATTTATTTATCACATGACTCCACAGTTTACCAGACTGGTTTCATCTTCACGTAGGTGGTATATGAACTTATTAAAATGAATAATTAATCAGAACTAGTCCTTTAAATAGAACACAGTAAAGAATGTGATCGAATAATAAAGCATTATGTTACAGAACAGAAGAGAAGTTTTGCCTCAGGCTAAAGTTTCTACTTGGCTAAGCCAGAAGATAGAATTCTTCTTAAGTAAATAAATAAATAAATAAATAAAGGATTTATTAAAAGAGCAATGTTTCTTGGATCATGATAAACCTGTAGCCTCTCTAGTTCGACATTATGGCATACTGAGTTTTATATTTGGTTTGAGCTAGTTAGTCTGTAGACTTCAAGGTCTGATGGAAATAGTTTAGATATTTTTCACATTTCTAGTAACAGCATTTAACAAATAGATTGTATTATGGTGGTGTTCTCTCTGTAGATCAGGGGTCGGCAATGTTTGGCATGCGGCTCGCCAGGGTAAGCACCCTAGCGGGCCGGGCCAGTTTATTTACCTGCTGACGCGGCAGGTTCGGCCAATCGTGGCCCCCCACTCGCCGTGGTTCGCCGTCTCGGGCCAATGGGGGCGGCGGGAAGCATCGCGGGCTGAGGGATGTGCTGGCCGCGGCTTCCCGCCGTCCCCATTGGCCCGGGACGGCAAACCGCGGCCAGTGGGGACCGCGATCGGCCGAACCTGCCGCGTCAGCAGGTAAATAAACTGGCCCAGCCCGCTAGGGTGCTTACCCTGGCGAGCCGCGTGCCGAACGTTGCCGACCCCTGCTTTAGATCACATAAGTGGCTGTAATAACAAATACTCCTTATAATATCCTCAGTTCTGTATCTGAGGGCAACTAAAAATATCGGATATATTCACAAACAACAATGCAACTGTTAACATTAGGTACAATAAGGGAAGATTTCTGAGTAGATAAATATAGGGATTTTTAAGTGGCTGCTTAAATTTTTCCTCTGCCACAAGTACAATGGGTTCCTTCATACCCACAAAAAGTGACTAAAGTCAGCTAATATAATAGCTAGTTTCTTCAAAGGCAATGAAAACTCCCAAGTCTACATAGTTCACCAAATATAAAGAATACAACTTCACTTGGGTTCCAACTTGACCCTGGACAACCGAAGTTCTTAAAAAAATGTCTTTGCACCTTGAATAGAGCTGAGATAGCACTCTCGAGTAGGATGGATTTACAAATTTCAGTATTCACCACCAAACGGTAGGATTTTGTTTGTCGGGCCCCAATTCAGCAAAGTAATAGAATCTGTATATTTAATAAAGGCGATAGAAAATTTTTAACAGTTTTCCAACAGAAAATGCAGTGTCATCAAAATCTAAAATGTTTTGCAGCAATGTGTCAATTTAGATTAAATGTTTGATGGAAACATTTGAAAATAGTCATTTAGACTATTTCCTTTGGATTTATTTAAACTTTTCTATTATTACATTTTTATATATTTAATTTTATATTATAATGTTTCAGCATAAAATGAAACTATTAGTTTTCAAATTGAAGTTTTTCCAAACGGTCAGAATTTTCCGCAGGACAGAAATTCCATTTTCTGACATGCTTAAAGTAAATACTAGAGCTAATGCATAAATCACACTGAATTCAAGGTAAGATCTCCTAAGTTCATGTTAAAACTACAAATTGCCTCATCTTCATTGGGATTTTACCTCGTTAGTTACCATGTGCTAACTAACATGAGTTAAGAACACACTTTTTTCCCCCCTATTGAAGACATAGCCACACAAAGCTTTTAGTCATACTGGATTACCTTTCATTTCTCAGTAGCTTCATCAGCTTTAGGCTACCAAAACCCAGGCTTCCAGTAGTGTATGTTGTGGGAAAGGGCATGTGTGTATTTTTCCAATAGGTGTCAAGTATCAGAGGGGTAGCCGTGTTAGTCTGAATCTGTAAAAAGCAACAGAGGGTCCTGTGGCACCTTTGAGACTAACAGAAGTACTGGGAGCATAAGCTTTCGTGGGTCAGAACCTCACTTCTTCAGATGCAAGTAATGGAAATCTCCAGAGGCAGGTATAGATCAGTGTGGAGATAACGAGGTTAGTTCAATCAGGGAGGGTGAGGTGCTCTGCTAGCAGTTGAGGTGTGAACACCAAGGGAGGAGAAACTGTTTCTGTAGTTGGATAGCCATTCACAGTCTTTGTTTAATCCTTATCTGAGGCTCTCAATGTTGCCTTTGAA